GCTGTGCTCCCCAGGGCCGCTGCGGCGGCTCGGGCCAGGCACACTGACACACTCGCACGCGCGCCTCAGCCCACCGCCTGCTCCCTCAGTCCGGCCCTGAAGATGGCGGCTCTCAAACTGCTCCCCTCCCGGCTACAGCTCTGCGCCCCCATCCGCGTGTCCCGGAGCGCCTGGGCCAAGGTAAAGTCCGGGACAAGAGGAAGGCCACGCGAGGGAAGATCGCGGACGAAAACCCGAGTGGTGCCCGCGTTTTCTCCTTGCCAACACCCACTTTATCCAGCCCAAGAACTGGCATCGGTGATGCGGCGCCCGGGACACCAGGACGTGCCGAAGCGTCTCTGGCCTTGCGGCTGGGTCTCTGGCCTCGCCGCTCCTTCGAATGATCGCCTTTGCTTGGTTCTGCATCCGTTTCCCCTTAGAGCGAGGCGACCCAAAGAAGCGCGCGGAGAGGCTTGAGCACAGTGGGGAACGCCTAGCAGCGCGGCTACGTCTTTTGGGGTTCGCATGCTTCCCCTTGGCATGCGTCTCCACAGTGCCAGCAGCCTCCTGTCCCCGCGGCGCCCGCCCTTGGGAAAGGTTTCTGGTGACTGGAATCCGTCGAGAAGGACTGCAGTTTAAGGCATGGGCGGGATGGAAGTAGCAGGGCTTACGTTTGCGCCCCGCACCGGCCTAGGCGCCTCTAGAGGCGCAGAACCCCGGGCCAGGTTAGCCGCGGCTGGACCCGAGTTCGCAGCCAAGGGGGCGGATTCTGGGCGCCGCGGGCGTGGAACGCCACCCGGCATCCTCTCCTCCCTATATGGCTGTGCCGCACCTCCGCGGTGGGAAGGGAATCCGGACTGGAGCGCTCGCCTGGCATCTAGTCGGCCAAGCAGGGGAGCCTGGAGATCTGGCCGTGGCTCGCCTGCTGTCCGCGGGAGCGGAAGCCCCTTCTGAGACCCCTGCGATCTGGGTTGGAGGCTTTAGATTTTCCAAAGCTAGAGGAACACTCACCGTGGATTGTGGGTTGTGTGTTTTTGAACTATGCATTGTCTCTGCGGTAAACCCATGCTTCTGCAGGATTACTGTCTGCAGGATTACTGTCCAGAGTCCTAGGAGCCCAGTACTGGATCAGAGAAACAGGTTCAGTAGAGTGGCACTACCTGGCCACCTTAGTAACCATGAGGACCTCTTCCTTGGTAGGGAAGGCAAAATGTTTTCCCGGGGTGGTGGTAGCGCGTTAAATAGTAGTTCAGAGCCTGATGGCCCCCTCCCCTGACCCTATCTCCAAGAGAGCTGAGAACCCAAGGGTCGCTAAACTGCTTCTCTCTAAGTGCTGGGGAAGGATTGCAGACTGGCTTATTTTACTTCAAGTGCTGTTTAGGAAATATTAGTATAGTTGCAGATAGCTTTAGATATATATACAGTATTAGTAAAAGCGAACTTGACCTTCAGTCTAATTGCTGCGGGTGCTGAAGCTGATGCAAACCAGAACACAGCGATGCCCTTGTGCTAAGGTCAATTTATTTGATGGTTATTTATTTGCCTGAGTGCAGTTTACTCATTTTATGTCTTTCTCACCTTGAGTATATCATTAAACCATGTTCGAGGCCCAACACACCTCTTAGATGGATGGGTTACAAATTAGGGGTTTTGCTGTATCTCATTAAAAGTTTCACACAAGAGTTCAAACTTTCCCTTTCAGGTTTGATTATCCTAGGTCCAACTCCTGCTTTCCAGATGGTCCACCCAGCTCATGCATTTAATGCCCTTACTGTGTATTTAGCATTTAAATCCTTACCACCTACTTCCCTGAAATATTAACACTGTGTACTTGTTTAACTTTTCTTATGTGTACATTGTCTTCTCCACTAGATGAGAGTTTCTTGTTGGCAGGATCCATATTGCATGCTTTACTCCATTAGATGAAAGTTTCTTGTTGGCAGGATCCATATTGCATGCTTTATTCTTCCTCTCCTTCAAATGACACACCACTATACATACATTAGATATTCAACACATGTTTAATGCATGGATGAGAGTACCCTGCAGGCACACTTACGTAGTAACCTTTAGAGTTTCTTTGCTAAACATAACCAACAGGTAAAATAAGATACAGATGCTTCATGACTCATGATGGGATTACATCCTGATAAATCCATGGTAAATTGAAAATATCGTAAGATGAAAATGCATTTAATACACCTAACTTACAAAATATTATAGCTTAGCCTACCTTACATGTAGTCAGAACATTTACATTCATCTATAATTGGGAAAAATCATCTATCACAAAGCCTACTTTGTAATAAAGTGTTAAATAGCTCATGTAATTTATTAGGCATTGTATGGAGTGGCTAAGGGGTTAATGGGTACTTGAATTTCTATTGAATACCTATCATTTTTGCACTATAGTAAAGTGAAAAATTGTAAGTTGAACCACCATTAGTCATGAACCATCTGTAGTTACCTGGAGACTTTATAAGACAGATTGTTGTGCCCATTCCCAGAGTTTCTAATTTAGTAGGTCTTAGATGGAGCCCCATTCTTTGCATTAATGGCTACTTTCAGATCCACTGGCATGGACCTAGGTTGAACTAGACTATCTGAAGGTATCTTCTTTCCTTCGTTACTATGGGGGGACTGGGGGGCATTTGATAACTATTTTCTTTTCACGATAGAGATTTAGTTGTGAAAAACAAAACCAAAACAAAGACCATCTTCTAAGAACACTTGAAACTATCCCTTCCTGGAAACTATTTTTTTCTCAAATCTCTAACTCTGGACTCTCCTGAGTTGCAGTTCTTCTGGCGTAACACACTGATCAACTTCACCTGGGTGTCAGGCAGCATTCATGTTTTTCTGATCCCAACAAAACCAGTCATAAAATGACATTTCTCTTCCTTGTTTTATTTTTTTTTCTTTCATTATATTTAATGACTGTATCTATCCACTATGTAAGTTGAAAACTTTGGAACCATCCTCTCTTTTCACCACTTCCAACTGATCAGCAAGTGTCATAAGTACACTTCTTTCTGAAATGTCCTCAGGGCTGTACCTGGCAGCCATCTACTTAATATTTCTTCCCTGTGGCTTCCCAATTGAATATTACAATTGTGTTTAAATTTTTGTAACTTATTTAGTTAACTAACTTATTGCCCTTGCTAGTTTGTAAGTTTCATTATAGCAGAGACCATGCCCTGTAGATTTTTTAAAAAACTATTGTTTGTTTTATCTCTGTATTGCAGTATTTAATATGGCTGGTACGAAATAGGTATTTCTGTAAAAATGGGTGAAAGAAAGCATGAATTCCCATGGCATTTTTCTTTTTTTTTTTTTAATCTTTTTTTTTTGGCGGGGGGGACAGGTTTTTACCATAGGACGCATGCGCTCGCCAGACAGACAGAGAGAGACAGAGAGACAGAGAGACAGAAAGCGAGAAATCACCCCCCCCCGGGGGGGGATGGTCATGCCACAATCCCTTCTCCTCCATTCTGCTCTCTGGTTCTTGGACAATCACGCACACGCACCTGGCGTGAATTTGAAGCCACTGGGTCTGGGACACAAACCGTGGTTGACTACATGAGAGTCCAGCGACATAGCAATTATGCTAACTGCTGGTCTCCCCCCTCCCCCGGTGCCATTTTTCTGATTCAGGCTTTCTTTCATCTAAAATTGTGACATCTCTCAGTTTCAAAAGTGTTGCTGCCATTTGTTCATTGAAAGATGAGGTTGAAACTCTCTTATGTAATCTTCAAGACTTTCACAGCCTGCTGCAGTTTCCCAGTCTAACCTATTCTTCATGAACTTCTCTAGACCTGATCCTGCATATTTCTGGCCACAACAAGGCTTCTCCTATCTCTTTGCCTTTACTCATGTAGCTGCCCTGTATGGAATCCCCAGCCTGAACAGTATTTCAGCTCCTGGCCAACTTCTCCAGCTCTCTGATCCACCAGGCAGGTTGGAGTCGCCTTCATCTGTGCTCCTATAGAGTGCCACGTACTTCCATGAGTTCCTTGAGATTTGCTCATGGCATAGATGAACAGTTGGCAGTATTTAGTTGAAGACTAACATTCCTCTGTTTCTCTGGTCAGCTGAAGCATTTCAACACACATTGCCTCATCTTAGCAGCAATGCCATTCTCTGTCTTGCAGGGCTGTAAGTGTGTGTAGCCATCTGCATATTACGACCGCCTTTCCCCTCAAGAGAATGTGGTTTTCTTCATCTCTCTCCATATGGTTCCCCCCCTTTTATTTTTCAAACTTTGATACTGAAGTGGGCAATGTCAGCCATTCTGTGTCATGATTTATTTAACTGCAAGGAGACAAGGTAAATATCACCTGGGTGTGCAGTACTGTATAATTAAGATAAGATTTATTTAAGAATAAAAAAGAAGTGTGCTTTGTAGATTTTTACTGAAAGATTGTGAAAAAGGAGTACATTTTCATTAAGTTCTGGAGTGTTGAATGACAGGAAAACAAAGTTTAGGTGAAAGAACTAATGGTAGAAAGGTTAGAAAGGAAGGAGGTTCTGGATTAGGAAATCATGGGACAAAATTTAGTTTCAACAGTAGGATAATGCTTCAGAGGGTAAGTATAAGAATTTGAAGTACTGGACACAGAATGAAGGTGGAGAGGACTTTAAAAGGAGAAGTGCATTAGAAAAAATCTCGCACTGTAAGAATTTTGAGTATTTCTTGCATTCTTTTTGTTATATATTTATTTTTTATAAAAAATAAAAATACGAAAGATATATATATAACAATAACATAGTTACAAACTAATGATAAACTAAAATTTCACAAACGATTGTGAACATTTTGCACACTTGTTAGTCCTTTCTTTTAGGCAAAATGTTCTTTTGATACAAATAAATTAGCAGACACACACTAGAGTGAACCATCCAGACAATGCAAAAAAGTTCAGATGTGTTTTTGTCTTGTAAACATAAATGTACCATTTATCCTCAAACATTGCCTTTTCTCTCTCTGCCTCCAGTTATTTGTCAAGATTTGGATTATACTGCTCTCCTCACTTGACTTTGACCAAGGTTGAAATTTAAAGGGGCAAAAATCTGTGGAACCTCTGTGCTGGCAAATCTCATTTGACTTTGCCTCTGTATAGTTCCCTTAAATAGTCTTTTGTACCAACTGGCACTTTATCTGAAGAGCTTTTAGAGGACTAAAAGAACAATAGACATTTATTTATTCTGTTGCCTTGTTGACCTCAGGTTGTGTCTGTCTGAGAGACTTGGGCAGTGTAAGCTTACACTTGGGGTTACTAAGGCGGCCATGTATCAGGATTCAGAAGTCGTTCTCTCCATCCCCTCTCTTTTTTAGGTTGAATATATCAGGAGAATAAAGGAGAGTTGATGTGAGCATGAGTGAGCGATTGCCACAAAATCTGCTTTCTCATTTTTTCGTATTTATATTGTGATTGAAATATAAAAGAGGAAAATAATTTATAACTGTGTCCATCAATTGGTCACTAAATGACTCATTTGGAACCAAATAGTTCACCTTGATAAGTCTAGCCATAGCTTGTTAGATAATAGTTTGCTGCTTCCCTAGAGGATTCATAGACTTCAAGCCCCGTAGGGAGATGAGTCGTTTTATGTGCTGTTCTTTTCTTGTCCCTTTAGGGAGCATTTCCTGGCATCTAAAATTGGATCAGGGGTCCAGCTATGTAGATATTTGAAGTATTTATCACACTGTACTCAAATTTCTGGAGGGCTCCAGATACATGTTAATACCATGTTGAAGTAAAGAGCACAGAGCTGGGCACGTAGTAGGTTCTTGGTACATATTTATTGATTGAATGGAAAGCTAGATTACTATCAGAAATGGACGCTTGATGACATGATTGTTGTGAGTGGGAATTCCAGTGTAGGGATCATCTGCTTTCATTCTCTTAGGTGGCCACAACAACATAATTAGAGTTCCCCCTACGTAATAGAAGATACTGATCATAAGGGGACTCTGCTGATAACCTGTGATAGAGTATGTTCATCTTACTTTTAAGGATTAATCCCTTAAAGCACCACTCTTTTAAAGAGGAAATATTGTCTCAGAAACAGAATCAAATGGTGGTTGTCAAAATCTGTGGGGTGGAGGAACTGGGAGATGTTGGTCAAAGGATACAAAGTTTTGGTAGACAAGAGGAAAAAGTTCAAGAGATCTATTGTACCTCGTGGTGACTACTGTTAGTAACAACATATTGTACCTTGAAGCTTGGTAAGATAGTAGATTTTAAGTGTTCTTATCTGATGCAGGAATTTGGGTTGACTGGAGCCTCAATACTGATGTAGGATCTGGCAGTAAAGTAACTGGATTCAGTCTCACCATCATGAAAAATTAGAAGCAAGGACAAGTGGAAGGGGCAGCAAAGCAGATTTTATTGAAAAAGAAAAGCTCTCACAATGGGTTGGGTCCCAAAAGTGGATACTGACTTGGGGCTCTTATCCTAGCTAGGTGGAACTTGTCTATGTTTTTACCTTGTGAGGGTTACATGCTAGTCAGGATACTCCTTTTAGAAAACTAGTGGTCAATGATTTCTCAAGTCTTTGAGCACTTTGTGCTCTAAAGACCATTGTCTAGGTTTTGGAGAATGTAGTAGAGATATGGAAAAAGCCGTAATTTCTGTGATTGTTTTAGGTCATGCTGCCCACTATTTTAAGCTGATCCGAAGCAGTTCCTAGTATGAGCAAACTGTGTGTAAACAATCTCTATGGGTGATTTTCAATGAAAACTAGTGTGCAAACAATCTCTAGCAAGTGATTTCTAGCAACGGTGGTACCTCCATCTTGTGGGCCTCTACCCTATGTGTGGGTGGTCAATCTCCTATCTCATCACCATAAAACAATAAGTGTTAAGATAGTATGTATGTGAAATAACTTGATTTAGGCACTATACAATGTGTACATATATCAAAATATCATATTGTACACAATAAAATGTATAATTTTTTACTTATCAATTAAAAATATTGAAAAATATATACCAAAAAAAAGAGATAGTAAAATTATCATTTATATATCAATACTGAATAAATTGCTATGCAGTTTATTGGAAGCATGCAACATAAAGCCATGTCCCCAAATGATTATTGACTTAAAATGTAAAAGTGTAAAACATAACTTTTGTTTTTGAAATGTTTAGGGATGTGTTTGCTACTTTTCAACCAGTACTCGTCGCCATACCAAATTTTATACAGATCCGGTGGAAGCTGTAAAAGACATCCCTGATGGTGCAACAGTTCTGGTTGGTGGTGAGTAATAATATTGTTTTCCCTTTCATGGTAGTGTCATATTATTTTTTATTGGAGCAGGAATATCACAGTGACAAAACTGTGTTGATAAGAATGCCAATTATTATATAGTTTATTCACTATTTTATATTTATTTATTACACATGTTTTCTATTGTTTTATTAGTATCCCCTTCCTGAACATTTAGTAAGATTTAACATGTAACATTTTACTTATTTTTTCCTCCCGTTATATTTTTTGATTATTATTTTGATAAACAGAAGTTTCAAAGTGGTCATATCTTACTAGTACCTTTAAAAAATCCCTAGATCCTCAGGAAGTCTGTTTAACTAAAAGCGATGGCATCGATCTCATTGTTTGCACCAAGTCACTTCTTTCCATACTTACTTTATGAAGTAGAAAGTACTGAAGCATCTCCTCTTGTCAAACTCCCTCCCTGATTTCTCTTGTTTTTGTTTTTGTTTTTGTTTTGTTTTGAGTTTCTTTTAGAACCACTGCCTTAAACTCACTAAACTCGCTGTCTGATTCTTATAAATAGGATCAAGGCTTATTTTTAGAGACAATCTACATTCATTCTTTCAACTGAATGAATGTTTATTTATTTATTTATTTGTTTATTTTTTTGGAGAGGTTTTTGCTATAGGGTGCGTGTGCTCTCCAGAAAGACAGAGAGAGACAGAGAGACAGAAAGCAAGAAATCACACCCAATGGGGGATGGCCACATTGCAATCTCTTCTCCTCCATTCTCCTCTCGGGATCTTGGGCACGCACGTACACGCTCCCGGTGTGAGTTTAAGCCACTGGGTCTGGGACTGGAACCGCGATCGATTACATGGGAGTTCAGTGACATAGCCATTACGCTAACTGCTGGTCTCAGTGAATGTTTATTTAAAACCTAGCACAAGAGCCATCAGGTGGCGTGGTGGTTAAGGTGCACATGTGCCTGACTATGTTTCGAGTCCCAGACTGGTTTGCTTTCTCTCTTTCTCTCTGTCTCTCTCTGGTTAAATAAAAAAAAAATGTATATAGGTAATTAAATAAATAAATAAATATTAATAAAATAAATAAAACCTAGCACTATTTGAAGAATTGTGGAAAATGTAAAGAAATGAGAGTTATTGGCCTGGTCTTCCAATTTTGTAAAATCTGCTCATGTATATTAAATAAGCATGCTTAAAAAATAACTGTGAAAGAGTTGAATAATGAAGTGAGTCAATAATAGATAAAATAGTGAAGTATGAGATGAGTGGTGTGTAACCATATGTACTAGATGCACTTGGCTTTATACTTAATGACTAAAATACTTGACAGTTATGTCTGGTACTATGTAAAGGTACAGAACATTTAAACAGAGATATATGAGAGTGCTTCAAAAATTTCATGAAAAAATGGTATTAAAGCATGACTTTATGTTGTTGAAAAAAATTGAAATCCATGGGTAGTTTTTTCATAATTCATATTTCCCATATACATTTTGAAGACCCCTCATATGACAATTTATTGAATGCTAAGATATATCTGTGTATTTTTATTAGTAAACTAATAATGTAATTTATTTTATTTGTATTCTGTTGAAAAGAATAATACATACATTTTCCTGAAAAAACATTATCCTATTCAGAAATTATTTGTCTTTGGGCCTTATTTATTATAGGTTTTGGACTATGTGGAATTCCAGAGAACTTGATAAATGCTTTACTAAAGACTGGAGTGAAAGGACTGACTGCTGTTAGCAACAATGCAGGGTAAGCGTGCATTTTTTCCTTTTAATTTTTAAATTTTTAATTAGTTAATTTATATTCATTCACTAAACATTGTCACAGCATACAAAATGTGATTTCTCATCCAGAGTATACTGCATAGTGGCTTAATCATACATGTTATAGTAAATAATTTTCCATTTCTTTATTTATATACATATATGTATATGCATGTATTTATATATTTTCCCCCTATTTCTCACCCTCTGCCATTTCTCACCTGCCTCCCACACTATCTCAGGGTCCACAGTTGTTTTCCATTCCTTTTTTTCCCCACATTTTATTGATTCACAAAATTTTTAAAATAATCTAACTACTTTCAATAGCAAGCTCAGCTAATATATACATATCTGTGAATACATGTCTGACTTTAGGAGTAAAACTCTATAGTATATTCATTCTACTCTCTGAGTAGCACCTAGCTGATGCTATATAGCTTACTATGGTCATTAATTATGTATTTTTTGCTATATTTTTTAATTTCAAGAAAAGCAGTTTTAGCTCTAATAAATCAAAGAAGTGTGTATTTTTAAAACAACTAATTTTTTAAAAAGGCAATTCTTGACTATATTTAAACAGTTTACCAATAAAATGAAAATTTCCCCTCTACATGAGCAGTATGCCTAAACATTAAAAGATGGTATTTAAAAAAATCAAGAAATAGAGGTTAGGTCAGCCCCATTGCCCAGTGGTTGAGAGAGCTGGATCCTACATGGCAGACTGTGATTTGAATCTCAGACTTGGTGGCTTAGAAAACACAACAGGCCTATCTATGAGAAGAAAGGATTGTAGCATCACCATACCTCCTTGGGGTGTGCTTTCTCTGTCTTCCTGTCTGTTTCTCTGGTGAGTGCACACACAATTAAACAATTAAAAAGAGTGGAGGTTACACTTTTTTCCAAACATTTTTCATACCATCCTTCATAATCATAAGTAAAACAATCTTATTTTATCTTACATAAAGATGTAAGTAATATATATATATATTAAGATATATATATATATATTATCTTAATCTGAGGTGCCACTATTTTTAAAAATTTAAAATATTTTGTTAAAATTAGAATATATATTTTCAAACTGAATCTTGCATTTTAAAATTTAAAATTTTTTATGTCTTTTCTTATGATAGATTATTATTTATAAAACAAGAAGGACATCAATTTGAAGTGCCTCTTTTGTTTATGCCATCATACTTTCTAGATGATAAATGAAGGAATATCATTAATTATAAAAAATGTTACTGTTTGGTTATGTCACTGGACTCCCATGTAGTTGATCACAGTTTGAGTCCCGGATCCAGCAGCTTAGAACTCATGCTGGGCGTGTGTACATGCATGCCCAAAATCACCAGAGGAGAATGGAAGAGAAGGGATTGTGGTGAGGCCATCTCCCCTGGGGGGTGATTTCTTGCTTTCTGTCTCTCTCTGTCTCCCTCGCAAGCTCATGCACCCTATAGCAAAAATCTCTAAAAAAAAAATGTTGCTGTTCTTAGAAAGTGGGATAGACAGCAAGCTCATAATTAGTGGGATCTCTTTTTAAAATGGTTAACAATAAGCCATCATTTGAACAATGACAGCCATATTAAGATACATTTAGTTATGTTGGGAAAAGCTACTTGTACACAAAATGTTAACTCATTAGTTCTCTTTCAACAATGAAAGACTTTAAAGATCTTAAAAAATCAATAAAAATACTCAAATTGGGAGTTTTGCATATTATTTTAATGCAATTTAGAATAAATAGCAGATTATTTAGTAAACAAAGCTGTTGCTACATTTGCATTCATTTTTTTCCTTTTCTGAGTTTAATTATGCTATTCTTTCCATCTGGAAGGCTTTATTTCCTATTTCCTGCCTATTCATACCCAAAGGAGAATGAGAGTGTTATATTAGTCATGTTCATCTCCTCATGACACAGTTATTTTAGACTATAGTTCTGGAAAGGAAGGGATTTAAAGTTTATTTTTTTCAATACGAGAGAGAGAGAGAGACAGATAGGGACAGAACCCCCAGCATAAGGATAAGCATGGATAAGCTCAGTGATGAGCTCTTCTTGGTATAAGAGGTGGTTAAGGGTGCTGGAGTACCACATGGCCGAGCTCGGTTCAAATCCCAGACCTGGCAGCTTGCTTTCTCACTGTCTCTCTCTCTTTCTCCCCCGCCACCGTCCCTCTCCCCGCCCAAATGAAAATAAATAGATAAATAAATATGGTTAAATAAAATAAATCTTTAAAATATGCATAAATTTCTTAATTTTTACACAATCATCGTACATATTTATGGGACACATTGTGATGGGTTGATACATTTATACGTTGAATACTGATTAATTCAGGATCATTAAAATATCTATCATCTTATATATTTATCATTCCTTTGTGGTGAGTGTATTCAAAACCTCTGTTCTAGCTGTTTTTGAAATATGTAATACATTATTGTTGACTGTAATCACTCTACAGTGCAATAGAACACCAGAATTTATTCCTTCTAATTGTAACGTTGTACCTGCTGACCAGCCTCTCTCTATTTTCCCCTCCTCTTGATGCTGGATATTATCAGAGTAAATGTAAGTTGTGTAATTGAGATTTAAGTATGTCTAAAATGAAAAATAAACAAAAGAAATAATTTGGTGAGTGACTACAACTTAACTTTCGTTAGTTTTATTTTGACAACAGTTGCCAATTAATGAAATTTTAAAAAACGAAAATCCAAAAAATTAAATTTCCAATTCAGAAAGTGAAAATATTTGTAGAATGTTGATGTCTCTCGTGTAACATCTTATGCTTTATATCATTGTATCTCTTCAATGAGTTTTTATTTGAGACTCTTTTAGCCACTAAAATGTTTGAAACCCAAGCTTATTTTGCTACAGGAAAAGAGCAAATCTCTTCCTTTTTAGAAATGTTAGAAAAATGTTGGTTGTTAGAGACAAGCAACATTATTTAACATCCATCAGCATTAGCTCTAGATCGAAGAGCTCTGAGATGCTTTAATGTCTGTGTTTCTTTATCAAAAGTATGTCCTTCATTTACAAATCCTCATATGTATGTCTTTTTATGTTTGTGAACACTTAAGAGCAAGGGTCCTTCCTGTCTTTTTCATTTTTTATCATCAGTGTCTGATAATAGTAGGCCCAGCATACATGTTTGCTAAAGTTGTGAGTTGGAAAGTATTTGGTAAGAACACACTTTTGTTATAAGCAAACTAACTGCATTTTTCAAGGCATGAAGACTGACTTTGCACCTGCTTGAGTGGTAGCCTGGGCTGAGCATCTTATGTACTGCTTGCTTGCCCTGCCAGGATATTATTTTATTAGGTCACTGGGAAAGTCATGATGTATTTTTTATGTTTTCCTCTGCAGAAACGTGTCACAACTTTCCCAATGACCCAATAAAAACAAAGGAAGCTGTCAGACATTGGTGCAGTAGTAGCATAGCTAGGCCCACGTGAGAAAGACCCAGGCTCATGTCTGGAGCTCTCTTCACAGCAGGCATACACATGCATACCTGCCATCTGGGCTGATGGAGGCAGGGAGGGGGTGCATTACAGTGTGAGGACCTTGTTAGGGTTCCCCTCTCTTCTTTCTGACTTCTTTTTCCTCTCTCAGAAGAAATTAAACTAAACACACACACACACACACACACACACACACACACACACACACAGGTGCACACAAACACAAACAAAGTAAAGGCTAAATACTCAATGACTCTCAGAGCCAATATCAATAAATACAAAGAGCTTATCTCCAAACAGAGTCAAATTCAAATGTTTAATGGGCTGGAAAGTCAAACAGAAAGCCATGAAAGAAGAGCTAGAAAAATTCCTAAGTCACTGAATGACCAACTGTATTTTGGTTACTGGTATGAATATAGGCTTAGAGGGAGTTTCAGATATTTAAAACTACAGAAAGCAAATGAATCATTTGTACCCTCATGGATTAATTATTGTTATGAATTACTTGTCAGGGCTCCAGAGGATATCAATGGTGCTCTCATACTGGGTAACTGAGGAACTTACCAAGAGGATTTTTAAAAAATAATTAATGAAATTTCTTTCTTTCTTTAATTATTATTATTTTTATACATTCATTTGCTATACATCATTTAGCTTCTAAAGAGAATTTAGCCGTCATCGAAATACACATCAGACCAATCCAATTGAGAATACTATACACGTTATCATCTACAGGTAATAAACCATTTCTGTGTCCCACAAATGTCTTACCTCCCTATATCCCTCCCTACAAAGGGATCTTTTTTTAAAGGAATGGTCAGGACTGAGGAAAAACATGACAAATAAAGAACTCTGAGGTTGGTGACAAGAGGAACACTGTTACCCCAGCCCTAGGTCTAAAGGGATAAGGGGAGGGAGTGGGTTATCCGGACCTCAAAGCTGCAACACACATGCTGCAACTTGTCAGGGACAGAGCCAGAGGAATATACATTCTGCTTTCATTCTCCTCTCATCCCCGTCTTCCTGGTGATATCTCCAGTTCATCAAACCAACCAGAAGTGACTGAATCCATTCAGAAGCCAGAGGACAAGGGAGCTTATTGATTCAGTCAACAGGTTGACGTTCCCAGGCACAGAGCAGGCTGGAGGCTAGAGAATGGAGCCCAAGGGCAAACAGAAACTATCTGGCAGAAAACTTGGTGATTGTCATTCTTATTAGAGAGGAGCCAGTGAGAAGGGGGAGAGTGGAATTGAGCAATAAGTTATCTACCAGTTGCCCAACAAATATTTATGCAGTTCTCTTTATGTGCTGTATGTGCTCCTAGGTACTTGGGGGTACCACAATGTGAATAAAACCAACCAAGATCCCAGCTTTGTGAGCCTTCCCCTCTAGTGGGGGGATAGGCAGACAATAAGTAGTTAATATAACAAATAAATAAATTTTCCAGGATGTTAGGAAGTTATAGGTGCCTTGGAAAAGAAAAGAAGCAAGTAGGGGGATTGACTGGGAGCGTTACAGTGGAGGGCA